TAATAATTCAGTTAACAGTATCAGTCCCCTTTCCCAATTTGATGGAGCAAATTTTATGTTCTGAGTTCAATAACCTTTTTATGTAATAACAGTTAAAAACAAAAGTTCAATCTTCCAGTTGGTTACTGACAAACATCTTTTGTTTTTTACAAACTAAACCCTAACACCTAAGCATAAACAAGAAATGTGTTTATTCCTAAATTCTGGTAAATTTCTGAATTCTGATATATTTTTTCCTTAACATGAAAAACAGATATTTGTCATTTGCATAACAATCAAACACTTGATATAAACATATTATACTTTTTATATTTAAAACTCATCTAGTTTATGTAGCCCTTCAGATTCTCCACATCATTTCTGTTGCATATTAGAGATTAAAACAATTTTCCTCCTACAGGTGAGAGTGAACCAAAGAAAACAAAATCTAAAATCTATCAGTTTACAACCATTACACTGAATAAAATATATTTAAATAAYAACAGTCTAATGTAATATGGCTTCCAGAGCAAAGAAGAAATCCTGTTTGTGCAGCTCTGCAGTAAGCATCTTGTTTCTTCTCACAGCAAGTCTTCATCCCACCCTAACCCCCATCACACTCCAATCAACAGTTTGTTCTGTTATCTCACTGCCTGCACACTTTAAATTATAAACTAATCCAAAATGTGGGCGRAGTCATTTAAAGTTAAAGGTAAGGACAAAGTGAAAAGATTCTGTGAAGACCAAACACATCTGTCCCACTATGCATCCTGTCATCAATGGCTCTGTTCTTTGTTTAAAACTGATTAAGAGTAAAAAATATTCACCACATTACATTCTGTGTTTTGTTGCTTTTTCACCTAAAATCTAAACTAAAATTTTGTGGATTTGTATTTTTTTAAACTAAAACAAAAGCTTGCATGTCCAGCTTTTAACCCGTTTTTAGAAACARTTATAGCAACAGGTCTCTGCAGGTTTCCATGATCCTGGTCCATCGAGTCTCTTCAGATCCATTTTCATGATCCTGGAGCATAAATTCTCYTCATGTCTCCATGATCCTGATCCACCTAACCTGGACCTTCTGTTTGTTCTTCAGGATCAAACATCTGCAGCTCATTGAGCTCCA